TGTTGAAAATGGCCAAAAAAAAAAAAAAACTTACTTTAGACAGAACAAACTGGAACATGCGTTGCACTGCACTAAACCAATCATGGGATCACCTTCATGACATCCTTCCACACTACACGGAACTCTGGATCCTTTGGCAGGGGAGGAATACAAATAATCGCAACATCTGGACTGTATATGGCGCTCAAGCTAAACGGTCGGAGGGATTAGATAGCTGCAAATCGGAGGTGAACGCATGTAAGAGATTACATTTACGGTATCATCCTTTGATATGCCGGGTGCTTTGAATATCCGACCAGAACAGATACTACAGTCGAATATTATACGATCATTGAGCTCTGCGCTGTTACAATCATGTGTAGCAGGGAAACGGTGTGGACCACTAGTGGTGTAAAGGAGAGTTTTTAGTGGAAGTTCTAAAACCTGCTGAAATGAGGCTAGAGGTATGTGACTTTACCAATACGTGTTGGTGCATAGCGGACAGGGGTGAGGTAAAAAGTCTATGTGTTTTATCGATAAACATCCACTGCAATGACTCTTCTAGCATTAGCGACGTGCCTACCTAATTCACGACAGTTAGCGAATGAGCAATGACTGCCCAAGTGAGGATATTCCATTTGGGGGAGTCAAGCCTACCGGTTGATAGAAAATTTGACAACGTGGGCACAAGTTGAATGACCGCGTGAGTTGGGGGGTCATCACAAGCGGACCATTCACGTCACGCGGTTTGCTCGCACAGCTCGGCATTTGCTATCTTTTGAAAGGCTATAAAAAAGCATACCTTTCAAAAGTATTTTTATAATTTTACGTCTCTTTCTCTCTCTCTCTCTCTCTCTCTTGGCTCTTAAAAAAGAAACCAACCTACTCGAAATCAAACATGTCAGCTCATCCCTTTGATCAAACTGAACCTTTCAATATCTACGACGATAGTGATACCGACTCCATTACTGAGGATTTCCAATCCATATCACTTTCCGAGATCCAATACTCTTCTCCTTCATGGGAGGTTGACCACTCCTTGCAACAACCCAAATTGCCAGCTTATGCAATGAGAAGGCGTAATGCCATTGTTGGAGAGCTACCTGATGCTCCTTCAAGGTTCTATAACTAAACCGCCTTTCCCCCCGCTCCAACCCGACCACACTGAAAAGATATACCCCGTTCCTTTTACTTCCTCTTTCTTTGCGTACAATAGACTCTAGCTGCTCCTGTGTTTCTGATTTTTTTTTATTTTCCCTCTGTGTCATATATATCATTCATAACTTTCTCGATTTATTATTATTAAAAAAACAACAACGAAGGAATACAAATTACAAAGTGTTCTTCGTTAATCATCAATTACAACAGCATCAACTTCAGTCTCATGACCGCCTAGTTCCCTTTCCTAAGTCGAAAAATTTAGTATTGGATCATTTAAAACACATGGAGTTCTGCCCGCATTCGCTTAGTCTCCACGTGGAAGCACCTACCTTCTTTCTCTTTTTTTTCTTTTTGTGATCGCTGTGCACATGGCCGCCTTCGTCTTCATTCTCATGTCCATGCTTTCGTTTCTTTTTCTGGATGCGATAGGTTAAACACAAGAAAAAAAAAAGTCGCTCCCCCCCCCCTCTTCAATTCAGTCGTTCGTAGTACACCAACCTTCTTTTTGTGCTTTTTGTCCAGGCCTTGATCACCTGCATCATGCAAACCAGTTGCTCCACTGCCTCCTATTCGTGTGCCAAATGTCATTTTAATGCTAGGCATACGATTCACAGCGCCATGTAGGTTGGTCTCGCCATCATCTAATCCAAGCAGCGAAGTATCAAACTATCCAGGGCGGGAGAGGCGTCAGCTGGGTTAGACTGGATGTTGGCGTATAAAAGAAGGAAGTATCGCTCACCTCGGGTATACGTCCTTGTTGTAGTGAAAAGCTTTCTCTTAGTGTTTCGTCGGAAAATGGCTCAATGCCTCTGCCAATGTCAATTTGTTGTGGATTTCGTATAAGTTGCATCAAGGAATTGTCTGGAGTCATGTCAAATTTGCCTAAGGAAAGAATGATCGAAGCACATGAAAAGCATGCTGAGATCAGCCAATAGATCCCTCTTCGATTAAAGGTGGTTGCGCTCGCCTCATTAGCTTACCAGGTAGATGTCCAATGTAGCTAGCAAATGTCGGCTCTAACGATTCAGCTTCATTCCCAGAGAGGGACGGCCGAACGTATTCATCATATAAAGGGTTTAATTTAAATAAAGTCAAGAGATCCAGACTTCCTGTCAATCCCTGTTGTTCATTGCTAGTAAGCATGCCAGCAATGCATCAATCGACTGTGTCCCAAGTAGGCGCGCGACTGAGATTACGAGTCGATACTTTTACCGATTGTCAGCTTTCCTGGGTCACGTGGAAATAACCTTGCCTAGCTCCCGTCATCTCAATGGTGTTTATTCTCGAACCCAACGGATGTCTCCTTTTCGTCTCTAACTTCTGCATATTGTCAATCCAAAAGTAAAATATACATTATTTACTAATCCTTACTATTGATTTTCACTAAAATACAAGGTATTGCCATGATCTATGCTATATTGAAGTGTATGGTGTGTTCTACAAATGTACAATGGCTTACAACCACGGAGACCAGCCTATTGCGACAAACAAACATCATGAGTCCCAAGCAAACAGAATCTTACATCAAACAGCCTTCAGTGACTTTATACACCCAGTTCAACGTACCTATAAACATGGTTGCAAGATTGGAGTTCGACGTAGCCTCTTCAATCAGCCTTGAAACTTCATCTTGAATGCTATTGCCTGTGGCATCAATCTTCCTCTCAATGCCATCCAGTTGTCGCTTAGCACGAGCTTGAATTGTTTGCCTCTCGCCATACCGCTTCCACTCGACAATGGGATCATGTACCAAGGTCTCAAACACAGATAGCAAAGACATTTTGTTCTGTTGTAAGACTCGGAGAACAATCTCGCATGACTTTCGATACGTGCCTTCGTAGCCAGATGGGCCCATAGCGTCCAGTAGGTTTTGGGTTAGACGAAATGGCACAACCTCAGGCACTGGTAGCTTTTGACCTCGATCGAATAACATGTTGACGTCCACATGCACAACATCTCCTGTTATCTCGTGTAATAAAATGTTTTCCGCATGTCGATCTCCAAGACCCAAGATATAGCCTACAATCGACATAGTAGCTAGTGTTCGAGAAAATTGAGTACGCGCAGCTAACCACTGTGATGGCTCACGGAACGTTTTGGAGAACCATCGATGGAGAACAGCAGGACATTCCGGTAACACCTTATTCTCAAATGACCATATTCTCTCCTGTGCTGACTTCAGATTGTTGGCATCCAATTCTCGTTTGGTGAACTGTGCAAGCTTGCTGATGTCTTTCCCGATCTCTGTCAATTGCTCGTGGACGATCACTTTTAATGGCTTGGTATGGTTAACCCATTCAATCAAGCCCCAAAGATCACCAAGTGGTGTCACAGCATATGTTCGGATAGAAAGAGATCGCTCTCGTGCGTCTCGATCTTTGCGTAAGAACGTATTGATCATAACATTGAATTCCATCATTCTAGCGTCTTTTCGTAAATCGTCGTTTGATTTGCATAGGAATTTGTAGTGTTTCCCGTCACTACCAATCATGGTGATCCTTCGAGGTTTTTGGAGGGATGACATTACCATCACCTTTGGACCAAATCGAGCAATGGTTGGTAAATCTGTAATCATGGAGGTAGAGGGCATAAGAGCGGCTTCTATTGGTACACAGATGTCGATATCTTTCAAGTGCACCATCGATGCTGGTAAAGACTGATTTCGACTGCTGGCTTCGTATGGATGCTGAGCCAGTTCTTTCAGATACCTGACAAGGATTTTCGCTTGGTCGACGATCCTAAGTAACGTGCGTCCTTCCTCTCCTACTGCTGTCTTTTTCAAAATGCTCTCACAATGTAAACTTCTTGATCTGCTTGACGGATTTTGACCATCTGACCCGTTTATATGTGCTATGAGATGCCAAACCGTTGATCGAGGAAAGGTGCGGAAGATCTTCTTGAGAATACCAATCAATGTTTGGCATATCGCCCCGTTTTGGTGATCTAAGCGAGATACCATTCTAGGCAAAACCACAGTCCATGATTGAGGTGGAATCGAACTATTGAGCAGGATGTTGTTGATCTCTTTGAATATCTGTCGTACATTGGCTTGGCTGCCTCTTGTGTCATTGGCAATGACTGTTCCCAATTCCAGCCATATCGTCAGGAGCCTTGGCATGGCATTGTAAAGAAATTTGGACCCATTTTCCATTGTCAGGACGTATTGCACACACACTGCTTTAGCTCTTCGCAAGTACTGCTCTTCTATCACGTCGTCTGAAGACATGAATATCTTGTCATAGTAGCTTCCTAGATAGTAGTGTGCCTTCTCCTTCCAGTTTTTACCTCCCCACAGCTGTAAATCGTTCGCATCTGACATGTCATACAAAATACGACGATACTCTGTTTCGATTTTGGAAGGTGAGAGCATGCCTAGTTCCTGCTTCCAGCGTGTGAGAAGTAAAAGGGTATAAGAATCCATAGTCTGTTCAGATAAAAATTGTACAGCATCAAGATTTTGGTTGCTTTTCCACAAATATTTTGCCCTTGCCACAATGGTCCGTTCATTGTCCTGATATTCAGCTTTGACCAGAGAATGATATGCTTTCTGCAAGCTGCCTTCTTTCATCGCGGCTTTGTACCGATGGAGATTTCCGTCCACCAAATAACGTCTTAGCGGGTAATTCAACCCATCGACATCCAGCAGACGAAGCGCGGTTTCTCGAATATCTAAAAGGTATTCTCTATATTTCAGCGCTGGCGACATCCATTCCAACTTGCGATGCCAATCTCCCATCTCTTCGGTAAAAGAATTCATTCGAATGTTGGAGGTATTCTGATCATCACTGTACATAAAACTGGTCTCCAACTCAGACAAAATTTGGAGATTGAGAATATCGTCATAGGATCGAACATAAGATTCCAACTTTCCATCGGCAAGTTGCTGCACGCAATGAATGCGGGCTTGCTGCAGTGCTCGGTATACACCTTGCCTGTCTCGATTTCGTAAGCAAGCTATCACTTTCGCAATACGTGTGCTGATGGTATGTTCGGTCACTTTCGACAACAGACTGTCCAACATATCCCATTCTTGCTGATGCCATGCCGCTTCCACCATGAAAGGAATAACGCTTGAAGTTATGTCAGGGTTCTGCTTCTGAAACGTCGACGACATAGATAGGATAGACTCTGTGGGAGAAAATATGTTAGCCGATGAGTAGAGTATGAAGGTGCATTTAACGGGTTCGTTATATAGGCAAGCAAGCATACCATATTTGAACTGCTTTTGTAGACAGTTCAGATATCCTACGACGTTGTTACGATCCAAGGTTGAATTGCTATTCAAACTTTCGTAATGATATTCTGCCAAGTCCCACTTGCTGTTACTCTCTAGAAGTAAAAGTTCAAGTTCTTGAGAGTACTTTGGCGTGAAAGTTTCTCTCAAACCATTCATAGTATCGGCATCGTCTAGATGGGCGTGAATCCGCAAGAACAACCCGAAAGAGTCATCCTTCATGCCATGTGCACGAATATCTTGCTCCAGCTCAAGTAACGCACGTGCATATGCTTTACACTGATACGCAGCTTTTGCCATGCTACCGTGGGGAATGGTATCGATGAATATAGTCACTAAATCTAAGGCGCGAGATTTGACTCTAGAGCCCAATTTTTCTTTCATCCTACGGATCCAAATACTGCAGTGCTCAACCACATTCACAATGACCTAAATACAGATTCGTATATAAGCGTTATAAAGACATATCAGCGACCCCATCCATATAAAACACAACTGCCATTGGAAACGTACCTGCAAGCACGCCTGCCTCTTCTGTTCCGAGTGGTTTCCCTTTGCCTCTAATACAGACATAATCTCACGAAGGATGTCCTTCCCTTGCATATTGATGACATTGTTCAGCGCTATATGCGGTACTAGCTGGGTTGCTATAGCGATATTCTTTGTGAGTATAAGTGGTGAGCAGCTGTTGAACACTGTGTATGCTTCCCCTTTTGAGGCAGTAATTAAGCTCATAGTCCATTCGATCAACCATTCGTCAAACGATTCTGTGTTGTCGTAGATAGTTGAATATTTTCGTTGCCAAGTCCAATTGCAGGCTAAGGAGGAAGTGAGAAGAGGTGCTACGGCTGCCCTACAATCCGCAGATAGTTCATTCCAAAGGTTATCATGGGTAGTGGTGCTTTGTACGCCATCCATGTTCATTGTGAACCCACAATAACGAAGTAGAGTTTGAATGGAGAATTGGACACGTCGTTGAATACTGCCGTTTTGTGATTCAAGCAAAGCTCGATAGAGATAGTTTTGGATAATGTAGAGCGCAAGAAATCGGTTTTCATCCATGTCCACAAAGTTCTCCATCATCACAAAGCGATGGTCACTAACTGATACATTGATACGCTTGGGGTCAGCAGCTCCAAGAGCACCTAAACATTTGGCGATCAAGATTTGGACCGATTCAACGCTGATTCTTCTTTGGCATAGCTCAAGGAGTAAGTTATACACTTGGTTTCTTTGATCATCTTCCAACCATCCCTGATATCCTGTTACCAAGTTCTGATGTTCATCAAGCGGTTTGGTGGTCAAGATAATGTGTATGGATCTTAATGCTACTTCTACATCGTTCACATCACCATCGTATGCTTTTCCAATCCAGTTCTCAAGCTGTTGCTTTAGGGGTACGGCCCGCCTACTTGAGTTGATCATGTCATTGATTTTACGTAGCTCTGGTCGATTGGGAATGTTCAATGCAACGGCATAATCTTCTACGTTTTTTCCATCTGTAGTCACCAAAGACTTTAATAAGTCCACTATTTTTTGCACAGCGTTGATTTCGCTTCTACATAGGAGAGACGCCAATGATCCTACAATAATATTGGCGCATTTAGATTTATCTGCTGGCTGGAGTACACTGATGATAAGTCCCCAACAATCAACAGCAATGTTCTGGCCATCAGTGAGCTGTGATATCCCGACGATTGTGGCTGCAATCTATTGCAAAATGATTTTTAGTTTCCTGTCACCGCAAAATAGAAATCAAGAAAAGCAATGATGCTTACATATGAGATATGGCGATTGATATTGGATCTAGTCTCTTGAATAACATAGATTAAAGAATTGAACACTTGTACGTTTGGGGCATCGACTTGTCTCTTCTGAACTTTTTCAACCAAAGTATCCATGTACGTCAATATGTTTAGCATATGATTTGAGAGAAGAGCAGTAACTCCATCAAGGTGAAGTATTTTAGCGATGCGATCCAATGCACTATATATCTGTCATTTACATTGCTTTAGCATTGTTTCTCTGCATTTTGATAGCAGTCATAAACATACCTGCTGTCCTTCAGCCGCACCACTCAACTCTAATGCTAGGTTTTGAACCAGCCGTACTTCACATAGCTCTATCAGCTCTTGAATTCCGATATACGAGTCTGTGATCAGTTCGAAGAACTCTATTGCTGCAGTGTATTTATCTTCGGACTTTTGGGTGAGAATACTTTTGGCTATCTGGTACGCATGTTGAACACACAAGTCGGACAGGCGAATGTGCATAGCGTCAGCCAAGGCGTCGAGTCCAGCTCTTTTCCTTTCAACAATGAGGTATGGAAGAACCACTGGTGATGCAAATTTTAGAAAGTTCTCTAAATCAGAGTCGTATAGATATGCGATATCTGATGCAAGCTGTAGGTTGGTGGATAAATTATCACCTATTATCGCACAAATCTCCTGCTCGTAACTATGTAGTAGCTGATGCTTGCTTTGGCATAGATGTTCCGCTAGCTTTGTGACCTATCGTAATGACATAAGTTCCTTTTTCACGACATGCTTGATCAAAATAAGTACAAGTAAACCTACTTGATCACAATATCTCCTTCGGCTTTGCGAAGATGGTGCATTTTTAATGCTTGTTATCAAAGGTGGTAATAGCTCAGTTTTCATATCTTTTTCCTAAAGCAAACAGAAAGATTTAATCTATGAGAGTAATTGGCCGGGACAACTTGACTCGCACGCTCCATACCAAGGAATTTCTGATGACTTTGAACGGTATCACCGAATCTTCATCCAGATTTTCTCGCAAACGCTGTTGTATTAAAGGTCAAACACTTGATAACCAACTTCACAATAGATAAATAATGCAAATCAATGTAATCACCTTTTTGGAGAGCGCCTGTTTACCCTTTGAATTGTCAGATTTCGTGACGATGTCCAGTCTTGCAGCAATAATTCGGAGTTCAGCGTGTGCGCGACATCGATCTATCCATTGCTGAATGCCTTTGAACCTGAGATCGCTCACTTCCATAATTTTGCATGCCAATAACAATGCTGCTTCCTGTTTCAATAAATTGTGAGACATTAAAAATCGTACAGCCAGCCATACAACCTATTCTCTAGTTTACCATTAAATCGGTTGGAGGGTGATCAATAGCATCAATGCGCTCGAGCAAATTACGAGTAGGAAGATACAACTTTGAATAGGTGACTTGGAAAGAAGACTCTGAGTTCTTGAGTTGAATGAGAAGTGCTGAACTCAACACTTGGAGGAGTTTTTCGTTTATACTGAAAGCAGCCGATCGTTAACCACAACTTCTCTTGCAGATATGATCAAGTCAATTACAAAACCAAGTACCTTCTCTGTCGATTACTTGCCAAATGACCCAGTAGAGCAACTGCTGCCTCAAAAAACTGCTGCTTGTTATAAAGCTCGGTCGTGCTTGCTTCATTGACCTGATCGTTTTGCAACAGCCGAGTAGCATACTATACTCCCAAAATTAGTTACAAGAAAATCAAATATGCTGTTGTAAAGATATTGCTTACATTAATGATACCATTCATAATTTCGTCTGAAGTTGAATGCAGCTGCCAAGTGGTGAGAAGATTGATGGTTGCTGTTACACTTTCGAATAATTGTAGATATAGATCGCAAATGCAGTCAGGTTCTCGCTCAAGAATGAATGTAAACGTCACTAGGAAAGTGGCCAGCGTGTTGCCAACGCTATCAACACTTTCGAACAGAACAATACTTTCAGCATCAATCTAGAAACATGACTCCAGTTAGCCCTTGGCTAAGACATTTCGGGTACCAGAGTATAATTTACCTTCACAGAGAGAGGATATGACGCCATTTCGTTGCGTAGATTTTGTATTATACCTATTTGAAATATCTCATCAACAAAAGCATAATTTAAGCTTTGTACAGATGCTCATCAATCCGTTTAAACTTACACGAGTACAGAAACATCAGCCGGTGTATGAAAGACTTCGCGGTAAAGCGATGAGATTGACGTAACTTGGACACAACGTCACGAATAAAGTCAGCATAAACATGGCAGTGCGCCAATGAAACCTCCTTCGTAAGAACGCGAGGAATTTGATCCGCAAGGGCCGAGAATAGGAAAGGCTGTCGCAATCGTGATCCGCCAGCTAATAGTACATTCGCGCAAGATTGCAGATCTGAAATAATTCAGGTTAAAAAGAAAAGACATACATGCGCGATCAAGGCTAGACATAATTACCTTCTAGAGTTGTTAGGCTCCTGATACTGCCCAGAAGTTCAGTTTTGATCTGGGAGTCACCTTCTACTTGCATTAGAAATGTGTCTGGGTCATCGAAGAAAAAACGTCTAACAACGCGACGGTCATCCAAATCGTGTTAGCTTGAGTCACGTGGACGTCCACAGCTTTGGGCTTTCAACGCTTCACGAAAGCTGTTTTTTTTAGCGGCATGAGACCATAGACTGACTGACATGAATACGGCGAGATAAACTGCTTTGACTAGACATGTTGAGATGTTCCAATTATTTTCAGAAGTAATTCTCTTCTTTGGTTATACTAGAACTGAATGATTTTGAAAGGCTACTAAGGCCTGAGTGTGATTATATAGGAAAGAGCAACGAGGAAACATGAAATTTATCTCAGCCATTTCAGAAACCCGTCTGTATGTCGTAGTTTTGTGATGACCTCCTCCAATATACCAGTAATTGTTGTAGATGTTAGCTACAGTAACTCCATAACTTATGCAGGTAGTTGATGTCAACACACATATTTTATAACGATCCACCGTATGGCTACTGAAGATCTCAAAAAACAGATATCTTTGATTTAGTTTCCAAACAAACAAAGGAAAATCTTTTCATGCAGTAGTGGCGTATGTTTACATTACTGTAGATCTTTGGCGGCAGGTAATTGTTATAGCGAACTAAATCATGATCAAGGTAGAAATTCGTGTTACGGGATAAAATTTCCAGGAAGAGCCAGCGGTTGCTATCCTGCTGCAGAAGTGAGAACGTACGATGTATGCGCACATAAACTGGGTTGAACTTTTGCTACTTGTTATTTATTTTATTATCTTAAGCAAGAGTCTCGTATTTTAGATTTTGGTGAGTGTTTTCTTTTGGGGAGCAAAGTAAAAAAAGACTTTCACCCAGTTGTTTGTCGTCTTCTTCCTGCATGATAGATTGGTCTTTTCCGGTAGAAGATGCAATGGTAAGCATAATGGAGAGAATGCCTGAAGGAACGTCATCCTAGATGCTGTAATGATTATTGACGAATTCTTTATAATAAAATGAGTCTGATGTGTTGTATGATAAGGTGCCATGTTAAATAATTATGTCCGCTGAAGAAAATACTATAAGAACTGGGTAAAATCCCCTCTTTTTTTTGCGTCTTGACCATGCAAAATTTAACGAGGAACAGCTCTGGTAAATCAGAGCGCGCATACATAGTAGCTTTAAAGCGCTACTTGCTACAGAAGCACCCCGCCAAACTTCACCCTCCAATACCCACGCTCTCGTCCTTCTCTCCCACTGTTTCGTTGGCGTCCTAGGCCAATAGCTGTGGACATGCCACCCCTCGATGTTCCTACGGACATCGACCAGCCTCATGAGCTAGAGGCGGTGGACATTCCACCGCCCCGGGACTCCCAACCCAACCATAGGGCATGGACATCCGTCCACCCTTTCTGTGCCGTCGTAGCCGCTGGGAATGTTCTATTCCCAGTGATCGATCCCCTTCTGGTCTCCCGCGTGGACTTTTGTCTTCGGCTTCCCATTCTCCTCCTGTGCGTTGGCCTCGCATCCTTCTGTTGTTCTTGTGTCTTGCGTTGTCTCTTCTCCCACCATTTCTGCGCCCTGCGGTGTATCTTCTCCCGCTTCTGTTCGTGAACCCTGTAGTGTTTGGTCACCTCGCGCCATTTTGGCTGTTGCTCATTCTCCGTCTTCCTCGTCTCCGGATTTTTCGGTTGCTGCTTCGCCTCTGCCTTTTTCTTCTTCTTCTCGCTTGGCTTCTCCTGCTCCTGCCGGCCCTTCGCCCGGATAAGGCAAGGGTAAGGAAGTTGAGCGTACGCTTGCACCTTTTGCGACTTTACGTGCTCCTCTTCTTTTGCTGGCTCGTCGCCTCAGAGTACTCCCTGTTTGTCAGGCAAATTTCCTGAGAGTGGGTCTCTCAGGAAGATAGCGATGCCCACTGGTCGCTTTGCCTTTAGTTCGCGGAAGGTTTACCTTCTGCCAAGATTTTTTCTTCTTCTTCGCGCTTCCGTATCCTGCGCCTTCGGCATTGCGCCGTTGGGTTTGTCGTCGGTTGGCGGTGCTAATGCAACATGCTGGCTCAGTGTTGCAACCCGCCACTCCCTTCATTCCTTTTTCTCCACCTTCGTTGGCTCATTCTGCTCTTTTGCCTTCCGTGGCTCTTAACGCCACCACCACGATGAATTGCGGGACGGTACTCCTCCTTCCATGGCATCCTGGGACAGGATGATTATCCCACTAGAGGCTGAGGCCAATCTCAGCCCAGCGAATGGTCCTGTCTGCGTGCCTATCGGACGTTGAAGTCGTAATTAGCCCTTTATACTCTCTAATCAAACTGCCTGGGAAAACAATTTGTTAACATTTTACTCTATCTTCAGGTCGTCGACACACTCCAGCCCCTTGGATAATTTCCAAGGGCTGAGAGGGAGGAGCAGAACCTCCGACCACCGCTTGCCGTCCTTGAGGACTACGGTCCCTCGGACGTAAGTACCTAACTTTTAGTTAGTTACGCATAAAGCCATAATTAAAGTTAGATCACTTGGATGTTTTCGCTGCTTATTGTCGGAAAAGACATATGGAATAAAGGGAGAGGTTACAAATGACATCAATATATTGCAAAGCACGTACTCAAGTAACATAACTTTTCGGCCTCAATTCAATAATGCAAAGATGGTTACCTTACATGCGCTCAGAGTCTCACATTGCTCAATTGTACTTTCCTATAAAGTAAAATTCAGCTTGTCAAAATACTTGTCGGCTCGGCTCGGCTTTGTGCCTAAACCTAAGTTGAACCCTGATATCTTTCTATTCAAGTGTTACCCAGCTGCAAACTCATGCAAATCAGAATGAAAGCAATTACTTCATTTACAATGATTTGAAACGCTGTTCTAGATATTTAATATTACACTATATATTATGCTAGTAGTACTCCTCTTTGAGCACCCACATACCGCGTCCAGGCTGGTCTTCGGAGCCCTCCCGCTCAAATCGCGCAATGGCTTGGAGCATTTTACGAAAGACGACAACATTTTCCTTTGGAACTTCAATCTGTAGATTGTTGATTATATCGGTACTTGAAGCTATACCACCATGATCGTAAAGATAGTCTCGTATCTTGACAATCAACCCTTCTCGATTTGATTCATTGAGCACTATATCCGGCGCTATCATTGAACGACACTATGGTTAGCAACGCATTCACCGTACTTTAAAGATAGACGTGACGCTTACAGCTAATACTGATACTGGATGGCGAAGATCCCGCTTCTTGTTCCAGAGCCTTCCTCTCCTTCATTTGTGCCAACAAGTCGCCTGAGCTAGCAACTGGTGGTTTCCTACTTGCTTCAATTCCTTTGAATCCTGACACTTTACCCGCTCCAAATCGAGGAGATCCACTAGGAGATAAACTAGATTGTTTCTGCCCTGATAATGCTGGTCGAACCTTGGATCCAAAACGTGGTGGTGGTGTTGATGAAGGTCTAGGCGCTCCAGCAAATCCTACAACAGGTATTGTTGATGAGACATGAATCCAATTAGGAAATTGCATCCAGCATATTTTGCCTTACCAGAACGACCTGTCCAAGTTGGAGTGCCTATCTGTACACGGTTCAATCGTCTCCTAGACTCCTTTAATGCTTCTGCAGCTCTATCCGCGATTCGACTCGCTAAATATATTCTTATTAGAAACAGCAAACGGAACCGGCTTTCATGAGATATAGGTTACCTTCACGATCAACAATCATTTTCTCTTGATCTGCCCCATCTACAATTTGATCATGCTGTATAGCGCTTTGAATTCCGGTCATTTCGAATAAGCTGCTTAGAATGTTGTCGCCATTTTCATTATCATCACTATCTCCATGACTTTCATCTTCCTTTGTTTGGCTGAAAGTGCGCAGTAAGTATAAGCTTTTGTATAGGGTATGTTTGCATCTGATGACTTACTATTTCTCCAGTTTACTAACGCCTTCTAACGCTCGCAAGTTCTCGGCGCTGTCGTCATTCTCATCATGCGACTTTATAGTTTTCTTCTTCTTTGACTTTTGCTTTGGACGAGCTATAATTTCAGAGTCCTTAAAAAGGCTGCCAGTTTCCGTTCCAGCGGCATCATCTGTCGACAGGGTGAATAAGTTTTGTAAATTGCTAGCCTATAAGATAGAAGTAATGAGTATCATTTTCTGAAAACCCGATTAATTTTCGGAGCAACACTCACATCAAAAAATCTCTTTTGCTTTGGATCCTTCAATATCTTGTTGGTCAAAAATTGTTTGAAAATTTGTCTATGGTAGATCTTCTCCTCAATGGTTCCACTGGTCATCAGTCTGTAAACTGTCACACTTTTCTTCTGACCCAATCTCCACGCTCTCTCTCGTGCTTGTACATCAGTAGATGGATTCTGGTATATGTAAGGTTATAATGATATTTTCATAAAGAACCATTTATAAAAATGTGCGTATAGCTTACCCAGTCAGGATCGAAGATGATGACTCTGTCTGCACCAGTCAGATTGAGACCGAGACCGCCGACTTTCGTGGTGAGCAGGAAGACAAAAATATCCTTATTGGCGTTATACTGATCAACCATTGTCATTCTATTTTGAATAGCAGTAGTTCCATCCATTCTAAAATACTGGTAGTCCAATGACTTGATCATCTTTTCAAGGATATCCAGCATTTGCCTGGTCTGGCTAAATAGCAGAACTCTATGACCTTCTTTCTTCCACAAGGATAACAATGCTTTCACGACCACCATCTTGCCACTCTTCTCTGGATCGCCATAATTTGGGTCCTGACGAAAGATATTAACGCCGAATGTTTCTTAATAATCATTTTTTAAGTTGCTCTTACCTCGTTTGCTCTTTCACGATGCAGAATGTCCGGGTGATTACAAATCTTACGAACAATATCGATACCAAAAAGTACTTGTCGTCTACCAGCCATGATAGAATCCATTTCTTTCGATTTGATGAATTCCTCGTATGCCCTACGCTGTGAAACCGTCAACTTGCAAAACAGCACCTTGATAAAATAGCATGTTAATGTTGTGCACAGGAAGCCATAGTACATACTTCAACCTGTAGACCAACCTGTTCGCTTTTTTTTGGAAGATCCGACGCTACGTCTGCTTTCATTCGCCTCAAAAGATAAGGGTTGATCAGGTCTCGAAGGACGCAAGCACATTTGTATGCGGTTTGAACTTGGACGTTCGTTGCATTTGCATAGCCTCCGATATTGATAGGTACTGAGAATTGAGTTTGGAACACTGGTAAAGTCTGGAAAAATTGATAAATCAGTTACGAACTGCGACTTAGACGAATTCACTGGAGCGTCACCTACTCCAAGTCTGCCAGGGAAGACGAAATCGAACAAGGACCAAAGCTCAGCAAGGTTGTTCTGTATTGGTGTTCCCGATAATATCATTCTATGTGGTGTCTGGAATAAGACAGTCAGTATTTGAGAAACCGCCAAACATAGCATTGATTGTATATCGCAATACCTTCAACTGCTTGCACGATAGGGTAACTTCGGAATCTGGATTGCGGATCTTGTGTCCTTCGTCTAATACAACATATCCCCACTTGCGTCGAACAAGGATTTCACGATACGATCGTACACCAGCGTACGTTGTGACTATTACACCACCTAAATTATTACATTAGAACATGGGATTCGTACCTTTCTGTACAGACTCCAAACTCTTACCATTTTGATAATAACGATCTACTAAAGCTGCTGCCATCCTTCCGGTCCTTGTCGTCAGAATACTGACTCTGGACTTTGCTACCTTTTTACTTCCTTTGACACGAAGTCGTCTATCCTTGTACCGCTCATCATCTTCGTTATCGTCTTCGTCGATATGAAAGTTTTTAAGCATTTCTTCCTCATACTCGTCCAGATCTTGATCGCTATGATATTCGCTGCGTAGTCCGCTTCCACTAGAATGAAGAATTGCTACACGAATGGGTGGCCACCATCGGTGAAACTCTTTGACCCATTGCTTCAACACGGTTGCTGGGCAAACGACTAGGACAGGCTTTTCTGGGCCAAGCATTCTAGAGTGATGAAGACCAGCAACAAATGCAATGATTTGTATAGTCTTTCCTAGACCCTAAAATATGAATTCCATCAGCATCACATCCAATACTTGGAAACCAAAAGTGTGATCGAATTACCATTTCGTCGCCAATGATGCCCCCTGCTTCTTGACAATATAATTCCCATAGCCACTGCACACCTATAGTACGTTTGTAAGCCAATATATTCATGTTAGAAAGAGCCAAAGAATATTCACTCACAAGTCTTTTGATAGTCGAACAGATCATTGTAAAGCTCGCCTGATATTCGAAAGTCGCCTTCAAACTTGACGTCTTCGGTAGCTGGATGTGGCTCAAAGATTTCATCTTCCAATTCCAGCTCCCCGTCGTTTAAGGCAGCTTCTTCTAATTGATCTTGAGTCATATGAATGCTATCTGGCTATGTATCTCTAAAAGTTAGTATCATTCATAAGTTGCTTTTCAATCATGACAGTCACTTACATGCTGCAACTTGTATCGTAGTATTTTTCGACCGAGAGCCCACTGATATAGACGTTCCTATTGATGATTATCGATTAGCATAGAGTAAACGACATACACAATACAATGGAATAGATCAGTACTTGAAATACAGCCTCCTTTCCATCGTCTTGAATGGCAATGACCTGTCCATCTTGCTCAATCGGAGCTTTCTCATCCATATCATCCGTTATAAGATCTTCATCCTCTAACAATGGACTCTTTCCTTCTTGACCACTAGTGAATTCGTCATCATCCTCATCACTCTGTACTTCTGGTGAAAAATCTGAACCACTCTCATCTTCAGGAGACGATGGCGTTGAAGATCTTCGGCGTTTACGTTTTGTTTTCTTTATGTCTTGGGAAGCGGTGGAAGTGGGTATAATATCTTGATATGATTTCCTTCTAAGGTCACGGTGAGAGCGACCGTGCGTGACAGTTTCAACGCCTGTTTCTGAGTACTCTACACCTGATTCTGAAATATGACGTATCAATAGTCTGCATCCCATCATCGTCAACCTCAATCACATTTACCATTCTGATGAGACGTTTTCTCCAAACCGGACATTTTAGCAAATGGTGTTATCTTGCCGGTACGAATTAGGAACTCCCTTTCGGACTCATTCACACCACGTTGATTTTGTTGAATGGCTATCAATATCGACGTTAATGAAGTGTTTGTTAACTTATATTTTTGGCGAGTTAGCCCCATACCTTGTGAGTTTGTGCTTCTCGCTAGGCGATGACGTTCCTTTATTCTTGCAAGAATATCTGACTCATCCTGTCTTGCATTTCTGAGTCTCGCAGCCTGTTCATTGATCTTAGCAAGCACCCCATCCCTTTCAGTCGTGGTCATCACTCTTTCATTCATGCGCTTTTTGAGCGACGTTAAATTTTTTTGAGCAGCACTTCAATAGCTGTTAGTCGAAATATAACTATAAGGCAGAGCAAGCACTCAAACGAAACCTACTCCATCTCTTTGTTAGCTTTTACAAGCCGTTTTTGATCCAATTCATCGTCACGAGCAGTCATAGCTTTATCAGCCTAAAGATGGCATTAATCATTTGAGGTTCTTTCAACACTTCAAAATTGACAGCAGGCTATACCTTTGCCATTAGCTCTCTCTCCAGCACATTCTGATCGACGAAGTTAATACCGAGGTCCTGCAATTCTCCACCATTATCGGAGCTTGGGATTGCTGCGCTGACAGATGCATCGGCTTCAGCCATTACATGGTCTTGAAGCAAAGCTTCTGTAGCCGAAGACTTTTCTTGAATCGTTGATGGTGACTCTGAAGAATCGTCCATTACAAGTCGAGAGGGGTAAAGGTAACAAAGTCTTGACGCTGGCGGAAGTCAAGATTCGTAAAAGTGACGCTTCAAATTCGACGCTTTTTTGGACTGCGGTGCAAGTCACGTCAAGCATTGCACAATGCATCCTCGACAAGCATTGTTCACGCCACAACTGGGCCTCATTGCCCGCAATGCAAACACCATTTCCCGAAGTTACTCTTCATTACCCGATCCAGCCGGTACAGGCTCAAGTTCACTCGGTGGCTTTGTTTCGAATGTTGCAAACCAATTAGGAGTCGGCGAGTAAGGCAATCACATAGAGGCATTTACTGCTTTATTATGCATTCTACTGACGCCATTTTGTTAGGTTTGCCACTGGAGGATTACAACTAGCTGTTATAGGAGGTTATTTATGTTCATTGCCATGATACCAGATAATTGGAGCGTCACTGATGGACGTATTGTTTAGGTATCCTCGCCGGAGTTCGACTGTTTGGGGGCTATTTTGTCGATTATGTTAGAAAGCGTATTATCGTAACGGCTAATTTCGATAGTAGAGATGAATCGTACAGGTATGCTACTTTACTGTGAGTCTATCGCTCTCTTCTTTCACATATTTAATATCTCCTGTAGCTGGATCTTGAACTGGCTGAATGAGCATCCATATAGTGCTCAAGCTACACAATTTTCAGTGTCTACTGTCATTTCTCGTGGTGGCCAAAGATTACCTGGAGAAGGCCTTGATACCACTGCTCCACCTGTGTATTTTTTGCCTGCTTATGGTGAGTAATTGAGTGAGGACAATCTTGTTACTTTCGCAAGCTGATCTGTCTTGTTACTAGGCTTCCATATGTTGAGATATAAAAATCGACTTATTTGGCTTCGCAGAGAGCGACCACCGTCGAATGCTGTAGCCAACGTTGGGCAATCAAATGCACCAGCCGAACTTATTTCAATAAGTACATTTGGTCGATCTAGAGAGCCGCTGCATGACTTGGTCTGGTCAGCGAGAATGACATTTTTGCAAAGAGACAAAAGCCGAACTGTGGTGTTTGCAGCTGGTAAATATAATCGTATGTTTGAAAGGATTGACTATATGCCCTCACTGAGCGTATCTCTCCAGATCAATATGGAGCTTGGCGTCGCACTCAATCTCGGCCAAAGCGACCTTTAAGCACTATTGTGATTTCTCCAACTGTAAAACAGCGACTTGTCAGCGATGCCAAGGAATTTTTAGAGTCAGAGAATTTTTATGCTGAGAGAGGATTGCCTTATAGACGTGGTTATTTGCTGTATGGACAACCAGGATCTGGCAAATCTAGTATGATCCATTCACTTGCAGGAGAACTTGGACTCAACATCTATGTAATTACACTCAGTAACAAAAGCTTGACTGACGACACTCTAGGAGAGCTTGTAAGCGATACACCAAGCAGGTAAGTCGAGATGTCACACAAAGCTGATGTGTACTGAAGTACTTACATGTCTTTGGCAATTTGGCGAATTCACAAAAGGTGCTTACTGCTTATTGAGGACGTTGATTCGGCATTTGTCCAGAGAACACAGGGAGCAGCATCCTCTTCAGTTACCTTTTCTGGTAAATCTATTGTTATTTCTCTCCACTGAACGAATATCTGTGTGACCACGCTGCTGATCCCGCACCACCTACTTTCCCCACTGCATAGGTTTACTTAACGCTATCGATGGTGTAGCTGCGCAAGAAGGCCGCATACTGTGTATGACCACCAAGTGAGTAATTTCATCATTGATGCATGTAGTGAATTGCACAGCACTTATGTCAATTTTGCGTAGCCATATTGAGCGCTTGGACCCGGCATTAATTCGACCAGGTAAGTGGGGGCTGAATTGAACAAATTGTATTCAATTTCTAATACCCTGGCTTTTAGGTCGCATCGATGTTAGAATTCTATTTGAGAATGCTACGCAAGCTCAAGCCGCTGAGCTCTTTAGAAAGTTTTATCCTCGGATACCCGAAATAGAAGCTGCCATGATGTCCAAGGAGTTTTCCTCAAGTATTCCTGATAGACAATTCAGCATGGCTCATTTGCAAGGATACCTTATGGGTCAAAAAAATGACCCAGTAGCGGCGGTCACGGGAATTACAGAATGGGTTCAACGTCACGAAAACGCTGATGAACAGACGACAGCTTTCCAAGATCAACCCGTGGAAGACTTTGGGAACACAGAAATGTCTGGTGCGTCCACTCCCTCGCGACCAAGTACACCCAACCGTATCCCACTATCATGGCGAAAATAGCATATAAGCCAAAAAAGAAAAAATGTCATAGTATGTAAACTGTTTGAAGGACAGGATGTTTAGAAATGAAATATATTATGCTTTCAAACTAAGGAGAAAGGGTTATATAACTCTAAGCTGCGATGTTTTTATAAACCCTTGGATTGCTTGAACTCATCCAAGATTTGATCAGTAGATGATGATCCACAACGGGTGGCACCAGTATTCAAGATGGCAATAACTTGATCCAGAGTCTTGATACCGCCGGAAGCCTTCACTTCAATGTGGTCAGATACGTTTGCACGCATCAACTTCAAGTCCTCGATGGTATGTCCGGACTTTGCGAACCCGGTAGAGGTCTTTACAAACTCGGCACCAGCGCGTTCAGAGATTTTGCAAGCAGCGACAATCTCTTCGTTGGTCAAGTAGGCGTTTTCGAAAATGATTTTGAAGATGACCTTGGGATTCTTAGCTTTGCTTTTGGTGATGATTTCGCGGAGTTCTTGCTCAACCTCATCGTGAGAACCAGACTTGAGATGGCCAATGTTGATGACCACATCGAGTTCAATAGCACCATCCTCGATAGCTTGCAGGGACTCGGCGACCTTAGCGCTGGTGGGAGAATTACCGTGAGGGAAACTGATGACAGTGCCAACGAGGACGTCGGAACCGGCGAGAAGCTCAGCGGCCTGCTTCACATCGCAGGGCTTGACGCATACTGATTTGACATCGTATTTTTTGGCCAATTCGCAGCCTGTGACAACGTCAGCTTTGGTTTGTTCGGGTTTCAAGATGGCATGGTCAAAAACCTTGGCCAGTTGTTGGTAAGTAAGCTGTGATGCCATCTGTGAGCGTGGAAAAAGTACGAAAGAAGGTAACAAACAGAATATTATTGGCGGTCGCGCGGGCGGGGGAAAAATACACAAATTTTTTTTTTCTTTATTTCGAAAACCAACACATGCGTATGCAAGTCGTCTAAAGGGTTCTGTCGAAGATGGCATTGAGAGATGCCCAGACGACCTTGGGAGATTGGGCAGCGTCAACACCGTACCAAATACCCTTCTTCTTGTAGTATTCGGCAACAGGAGCAGTTTGTGAGTGGAACTGAGCCAAACGCTTCTTGAGAGTTTCGGCATTGTCATCTGAGCGCTGAATAAGAGGTTCACCAGTAACGTCATCCTTCATGTTAACCTTGGGAGGGCTGAACTCCTTGTGGTAGGTGCGGCCAGATGAGGGGTGGATCAAACGTCCAGTGATACGAGAGACAAGAAGATTGTCATCAATTTGAAGCTCAATAACAGAGTTCAAAGGCTTCTTGCGAGAGTCAAGCATCTCGTCCAACTTTTGAGCCTGGACAACAGTGCGAGGGAATCCATCCAAAATGAAACTGTGCATGAAAGACAAATAAACAGCGTGAATACACCAACAATAGCTCCAACCCGCCTGCCTCCCTTCATACGTCTCTCTCATTGTCGCGTGTCATTCTACTTACCCATTCTTGCACTCCTGGTTGTTGTCCAAGTTCTCCTTGATCATACCAACAACAATCTCGTCAGAAACAAGACCACCAGCATCCATGACCTTCTTTGCCTCCAAACCCAAAGGAGTTTTGGCAGAAACGGCAGCTCTAAGCATATCGCCAGTGGCCAAGTGACAGACACAGAACTTTTCCTTAATGGCAGGAGCCTGGGTACCCTTTCCAGCACCAGGAGGTCCCATGAGAATCATACGCAGAGACTTGTCAGCGTGCTTGTTGGGGCCATTAGCAATCTTATGCTCGAGAGCTTCGAACTTGTCGTGCAGAGATTGAATGTTCTTCTTGATTTCCTCAAGAACAGCGGAATGTTTGTCAGACATGGTTGGTGGAATGGAATGAAAAAGGAGAAAAAGAGCGAGAGAAAGACTGGGGCCGATTTGAGTTCAAACAAAGCGCTGACAGGGCTCAAATTGACCTCCTCTGCCCAATCCAGATTCGATTGAGATACCGCCTGCGATGACGGAAGCCACATTTTTGGGAAACCCTACACGACTGCTTGAAAGCTTGATCATGACAAATCGTCAACCTCACATGAAAGAACCCATCCACAAGTACATACATTGGAGTTTTGAACTGCCTTTTTTCTGCTACATTGGCCTTTTTGTCATGGCTGTATGGGTGTGCTTGAAGAGGACCCTGCGCTTTGTTTACACACTCGTTTGCACAGTCACATCAGATCGTTTATGAAATTTTTAAAAAAAATCGTTTTCTTTGCTAGTGTGTGGCAAAAAAAGAAAAATATATACAAAGTCGTATCACGGAATGGTAGCGATAGAGTAGGATCTGAATCATAAGAAAGACGATAGTTAAGAATTATCTAATATGGAAAAGGGGATAAGTCGTTCAATTTCAGCTTTCGCTAGCATAACGCTTGGCCAAGGCCGCTTTAAGTTCGTCTTCAGCGTTCTTTAGAGGGGATGGCCCTACCGCATTGTATTGACGCGGTGGAACACTGGGAGGTTGAGCTAAGGGCCGTGGAGGCGCCTTCGGTGAAGGAGTTACTGGGACATGCCTTGGTGGTACATTTGGAACAGTGGGTGGTTTAGGAGAAGTGAAAGTTTGCGGATGTGTATCGTTGGTCGTAGGACTCGAGTAGGCATTGGGCTGTTGCTTTGACACTGCCTGATCCGCTACGCTTTTCCATATTGCATCGTCCACGTTATTGTGTGAAGTCATCATATCTGGTTTAGCCGAACGAATTTCTTTTTCACTATCGTCATCCTCTTCAGCCATGTCATTCATAGAGCTATTGCCAGCCACTACTGTTCTTAAGTCAGTCATACTGCGTCGTCCAACAAGACTCCCAAGATGGGATCGATTGACGTCGCTGCTTTTCCGAAGTGGGTTGGCGAATGACCAAAAACCTCGCTGTTTAGCTTCGGTAGTGGTAGGGGAATGCTCTTCACTAATATGATTACCGAATTCTTCTGTGCTAGTCGGTCGACTATCAGAGCCACTTCCGCTGGCTGTTGTGTACAGAGAGGTATTTCCAGCACTGAATCGGCTGATCGTGCTAGTGGTGCTTAGTACTGAGCCGGCATATGTTCCACTTCCTGTTCCGCTTCGGGTGCGAGCATGACCAGGTGAAGATCCGCGTCGTTGCTTTGGAGGTTCTCTCAAGAAACTTAATTCATCAATATTTTTCTCACTAACCCAAGGTCGCATCAAGAGATACTGTGTAATGATCTGTTGCTGTACTTCGACTTCCTTATCCACTTCGTATTCATCAACACCATTACTAAAGAACATAGTATTACTCATGCGAGTCTTCGATGAGCTAGATCGATGAAGAGCATTCGTTATGGAGGTAGGTCGGAAGGAGTGTTTCTGTGACAACTTAATGTAGGCACTGGGTGGCATCTCAGGGTATTTTGGTCCGCTCTGGAACTGCTGCATGATGAGAAGGATGCCTTGTATACGTGGATCGTCAATAGGTTCGTTCAGTGACTTGGTAGCTGCCAGCAGGTACGTCATGTCATGGATAAATGTGCCCAGGAAAGGTACAGTTGGCTTCAGGATATGTACAGGCTTGATGCTGATAGTAGATGATCTGTTGTCCTCCCCAGACGTGTTGATCATACCCATATGCTCTCGGTAATTCTCGTAATTGTTCGACTCTGACATAAGTTGCCCCAAAGTTTCCAATTTGGATAAGCTCTTCTTTGGTATACATGCCCAGGTTCGTTTCAATCGCTGTACAGGAGGAGTGCCTAAAGCCGATATAATCGCTTTAAGTGTTTGATAGTTGTTGAGAGCTAAGCATTTTCCTGCAACCTTGACCCATAGATGTATATGTTCCGCACGATGTGCAGCTTCTTGTTGCAATAAGATGGAATGTTCTATGGCGCGAGTCGTGTAGTTGAAGAAATCGGTTGATGAGACAATTCTTGCGTGCGGAGTACGCGCTGAATGACATAGTAACGCATCGGGTGGAATTTCTGAGAAGATGGCGGATTCGATTAACGTCAATTGATATGCTATCAAATGAGGTGGAAACTGTGTTATGGTTGGCACAGTCGCGGCACTCATATAAAGCGTTCTAACTTTGTTGAGAGTATCCTTTGTCTCGGCAGTGAGAGAAGTATACTCAAATATAGCGTCGTTGATAGATTCTTCGTTTGGATAAATGAGCATATCTTCTTCATCGGAAGACTGGCTCCACGTAACTGACTCGTTTTTGAGCAGTTGTTGCTTTCTTGTCTTTAAATTGTTCAGCTTGCCTTCCACCTTTGTAAGTTTCTGCTGAATGTTGCGATAGGTGGTCAACAAGGGTGGCACAGGTATATTTGGCACATAATCAGACGGTTGACCACCAAATGAGCTGGGAGGTGCCAGACTATCACCTGGATTTGTCTGTGCCGGAACTAGGTCGGTAGGGTCGACATGTCCTTCTGCCACAATTCTTATTGTGCTCATGCCTGAGTCTTCAGCGGACGACAAATCCATAGTTTTGGGTCTAATCCCGTGTGATGGGACTGACGACGATAACGGTCTTGACGTGGGCTTCTCGCGTATATTGTATAGATTGGGTGATGAAATTCGACGCATCAAATGCTGAGAGCTACTTTCTGTTTGATAAAAAATAAATGGCAGCGTTAATCCTATACCAAGATTAATATTGTGAATACACGCTAATGGAAATGACTTTCACCTTCCGCTAAACCAAAATCGACCTCCTCGTCGTCGTCGTCGTCATCGTCGTCTTCAATGACTTGTACAGGGGTAGTAGGCTGTGTACTGTCATTGTCTTCTGAGGATTGATCTGTTTGTGTTTGATCTGCAAAACTCACAGAACTTGCTCTGGGTCTTTGTTTTAAGGCGGACCGTGCTATAGCACTAGGTAGTTTCAGTCGTTGTGTGGAGGCTGAAGTTGATGTTGTGATGGCTGGAGGTAGTGGAACGGGTCTCTTGACTGGAGGATCTGTTGTTGGTGGAGTGGATGTAGATATCGTAGAGGTTATTGACGAAATTGAGCTTATCGCAGACCGATCAAGCTCTGCCGGAGTTTGTGTGCTAGGCGGTGAGATCGAACGTGGTGGTTTCCATATAGGCTTTGGTGCGACACTAGGTTTTTGCATCCTAGTAGGTTTTGGCGGTATCAAAGGTGGAGACTTCGCTCGAGAGCTATGATCGCTGCCAATGCTTTGAGAATCATCAACGTCCTCAGAATGTGATGAGCGACGTGCATGGCCATTGGATACGTTGTTCCATTTTTTTTCCAAGACAGGTGATCCAGTGCGATGAGTATGGATACCACCGGAGGCGTGAGTTTGAATAGGCGATGAAGCCCCATGACGCTTTAGTACAATCGAATCTAAACTGTCCAAGCTCGACCTTATCGTCAACACCAACGCTTCATAATGTGCCGGGTGAGATACCATAGCTGAAAAAGCGACATTAATAACCACTTCCTTAACACCAACAAAATATCAGGTGATGCTTACAATGATGGACAAATTTGGCTTCTCGTAGCTGCTGCAAAGAGACCTCCATGGCGCCTATGTATCCCAAATATGCATCCTTCGAGTTTTTTATGATTAAGTTCGTTAATCGTTCAATTATGAAGTAAGGGCTTTACCAACATACCTTGGTATTACCTCCGTCTAAAGCGTTGGCTGCTTGGGAGAGAAGAAGTTGCGGATCTTCCATATGCTGATGGCGTCAATATTTGATGAAAATAGTACAAGAAACCTCTTTCACTAAGCTGTAGCGGTTATTGTTGAAATTTTCAGCGTCTTGATTTGATTACAGCGGTAATGTGAGCATGCATTGGTAAAATGCCCTGTCGGAGACGTTGAAAGGAAAGCGACGGTAACGGGGCTGGTAAATTTCAACGGGCACAAAAGATTGAACATTTTGCAGACTCAGCTCACTTCACACGAAATTTTATATGGGTTCATTATGACGGATCAGGTTCATATCACTTTGTCAAGAGGTATCCATACCACATGTTTACAAAGGACGTGGATCAAGTACGCCCTAGTATTTACCATTCCGTGGTTAACTTTCTCAAATAACATAGCTAAAATTTGTAGGAAAGCTTTTGAGGCATTAGAGATATTACAGATACGGATATTATATTCCGGCCAAAGTAAATTCTCCATACATTTGACCCATCTCAATCTATCCCAATGGTCCTCCACTAACAGCGAGTCATTTCAACTACGACATTCTTGATCAGGATCAGGCATATTTCCTAACCCGTTCCTAGTAAGATAACCGAACAGTTCCGATTGTGACCAGTTGCTGTGTGTTGGTGGTAAGATGAAAGACTACCTAACACGCATTCTTACTAATTTATATCGCTTCACCACGCATTCGAAAATTCATGTCGTTACCCGGCAATGTACATGTTGACCTGTTTATAAGCTCTTATTTGATGAGCGAGCGCCAATCGATGAGCTTATCTTGGAGGTAGAAGATCGATATAAAGTACCTTATGTGGACCTTGGGGGTAGAAAGAACCTGGCCTGTATTTTTGTCCGTCCAAATTTTCGCAGAAAGGTGCAAATGAAGAATACGTGTTCAAATAAACTGTCTAAAAGCCAACATAGAGTCAGCTACTCTCTGACAGCCGCCAGTTTTATGTATCCTTGACCTTCATTTCCGAAATGCTACTGGTACGACAATTTCTCGGCTAAGGAAAAAGACAGAGATTGCGCTAGCCTCGGAGAAATCTGCTACACTATGGCACTCCAATTTAAGGACTCAACAAAAAATTACCTCAGAAGTAGCTGAAGGTTCACCTTGCCTTGCCCCAAAATAACCACGATTGCTGACCGTTCTAGCATGATAATATTGCAATTGCTTTTGAGCCTTCAATCTTGCAGTTCCTGAATATGGAGACCGAAATCAATCCCACCGACTGGCAGCACGCTCTTGCTTTGATAGCAGAGCAGAACCTTTTGTTAGCATACGCATTTGTTCCTAGCAATAACGGTGGAAGACTTAGCAAAGACCATCAATTTGTAACTTTTTAAATTCTTCATCTCTCTTCCTTGCACTTATTCCTGCAATTTAATTTGCCGACATTACCAAACTGGCCTAAAGGGAGCATAACAGCGCCAGTGCTTTACAAGTCTAAACCAAAGTTGAAATTCGTCATTTACAGTGACAGACTTTTACATTTTGTAGCTGGCTAGAAATTTCCCAGGAAATACCAGCGATATCAGCAATTACGCAAAGAGATCATTGCCTTTTGGAATCTGTGTATTCTTAAATTATGATTTTATTTCAATAATGGCGCACTTGATGGTGGGTGCAAAGTTTGGATTCAATCTAGGGTATACAAGGCAGGCTTGCGCACTTTTACGTCCTTTCTTTGAGCTTAGGATTGGGTTTATGATTGAAAAAAACCAACTTTAATATTTTGTATCGCCAGTAGCCTTCATATTGTCCTATATTCCATCATGCGATGTACAAAAATAGATAAAAATGGAATGAATGGAGGGAAAATGGGATTAGCACCTAGACGTCGAACTTTGGCACCTACACAATGAGAAATGCTCCAGATTATAACGCTCTTGCCTTGGTTACAATAAGAGAATGACCTACCATATATTCACCAAAGTCAACGTGAGACATAGTTAAATACCAGAGCTAAATTCTATTATAATATCAAGTGTACTGTTACAGCACTATGGCTTCATAATGTAACCAGTATCATTTGTAGAGTAATTAAAGCTCGTAGCGTTTTAATTATGAAGGTTTTCAACATCAAAGTCAAGAGGGGTTGATAGCAGAGTAGCAGTCTATATGTTAATCGCTTGCCATTTTATTTCAGCATTACCCTCATTGCTAGAGCTGTCTACTTTACGCGAGTACTCATTATCGGAAGGCAGGATCATATCATTCACAGAATATTCTACCATACCTTTTACTTGATAAAATGCTACAGCAAAATAACACTAATCGTCATATCGAATGAAATTTGACGTACGATTGATATGTTTTGAAATGAACATTCCAGCGCATATTTATTACATTTTGTAAATCCCATGTGTCGTTTTCATATTATATATCGCTTTCAAAAGGTCGTCAAACTCAAAAACACTGCCCATTAACCACTAGCTTTTCAAACAGCGACGTGAAAACGAAGGCAGGGGAAATGTCGGCACGTGACTTTGGACGATGGCCAGGTTCGATACACTTAAAACTACGCGCTAGAATCTCAATTCGCCATCCATACCAATTATATCGATCATGGCTTCCGCCTACTATTATAACCCTGCAGCAGGGAATGCACAAAATCCCAATATGCCAACAATGCACAACATGAATCAAATACCTATGGGGATGCAACCTTATGGCCAGCCGCAATACCGAGGACAAGTGCCAGTTCAAGATCCAGCAGCAATGCGAAAACGCACCCCTAGCAAGGTAATTTTGAATTGCTGGAGAGTGATCAATTTAGCAGAGTTTTAAACAGACGCTTTTAATAGAGCAAACCCTCTGGGCCACACCCTCAAAATGAAGAAGCAGACGAACCTTCTGGCGGTAAGCTACATTGCAATTATAAAATCTCAACTTGCTTCTTCATAGCTAATCATTGCGTGATATAGATGAATTGGACGATATTTCTACTAGAGATATTGCAATGGCACGATATAAGCGTAACCATGATTACTTGTCTGAAATTTTCACGCCTTATACGTCGTGTAAGTGTAAGGGACACTGTTCAAAACAGAAAGGTGCAAAACGAGCTAATCTTTGATAACAGCCTCAATTATTCCACCACCGTTCAATTTGTCAAAGTCAGAGGAAGAGTTAAATCAATCTATTGTAAGTAAAGCCAGGTACCGAAATTGCATATAATCTCATATTAAAGACGTTCCTGACCCGAGCAGAAGGAGACGGAGGATGAAATCACGCGATCGAAAGTACAACATACCGAGAAACTTAACTCTATAAGGCAGAAAATCGATGGCTTCTGGAAAAATATGAATGAAGTCAAGGATATTTCCGATTTGGAGGTGAGTTATCTCTGATACGTAATGGTCTGCCGTCGATCTGCGATGTTTAAATTCGTTTGAAAATAGGGTGTTTTGCGTTCACAGAAAAGCATGGAAGAATCATCAAATCTGAAAATGGAGCATAATGCTGAACTCGTCCACCATGTTCAAATACCAGGATTAGAGGCAGAAGATCCAATTCCAGATCATACATCCAACTTGATCCGAAACGTGAGCTCCATACCTGGGGTGGACTCTCAAATCAGCAACGAACCACAACTAGAGAGCGAGTTTGAAGCTCAATTAATGGCATCCACTCAACATGTTGAGGACAGTAACAAAGAAGCTGAATTTTCATGGCAAACTCAGGGTAAGCTTGTCACTCATGGTTGCGTGAGATGGAGGGTTGTGAATATTAACTAGATGTTTTCTGTAGGTCAATCTAACGCAATTGATGATAATGATTTCATGTTTAACGAGATGATGGCTACAACTCCTACTCAAGAGGAAACGCCTTCAGTAAACGAATTTTTACAAACGCCAGAATATGATAGTGTCACTAAGACACCTGAACAGTCTGGTAGTGACGATTTAGCCACTCAAAATCCTTCAGACAATAATATGTGAATGTACAAACTGTGTTTTAATTCAATAGTTCTCTGAATGTGCGAGAATAAATGGTGCCTAGAGAGGTTGTAGCTGTACAGATTTTGGGGTATGGAGGTATTGATATAAGAAAAATTATTGTTGACTCTTTTAGCGATATCAATAAATCCCACTAGCGACCATGCAGGTCTCGTGATCGCCTTTGAATGCTAAGCTTGCACACTTGTTTCGATTTTGATAAACTTTATGCCAAATAAGCGATTCCTTGCTGGCTTCGTACTGAAATCCAAGATATTTGCACTTTGCCCAAACTGTGCTTCCAAAGAAAACATCTTCTAAGGAGGTAACAATGTCCGAGTCCTCTACCAAATTGGCAAAGCATTCTGCAATAGGTCTTGATACTCCGTAGAACTTGCCATTCATACATCTGGCGTCATTATGGCCCGTAGCCGCTCCCATGCATGCCATTGGGTCTCCGAAATACAAGCGTCCATTGGATTCAATGTCTTTGACAACACTGAGAACATACTGGTAATCCACAATTACATCGTCGTCGTACTTCAAAAAAACATTTTCGTCGGGTAGGACGTCTATAGCTTTCTTGAACATATCCATGGTTTTCTCTGGTAGCGTCCTATACTCGTAGTTCCGGTTCAAACTTATGTCGCAGTGAGGAAATGTTGTATCACGATCACAAACTGTCATGACATTCGGAAACACTTTCATTTGCTTCAAAAATATATAGCTGGATGAGTTAGATACTGGAATTAGCGCAGTCCATGCAAAGCATTGGCTTATCAAGCTGAGTATGAGAAACAACGACTGAGCTCTTGCCATCTATGGTCGAATTCCAGGTTGTATGAGCGCAGGAGGTACGATGTCAGAGTAATTGTTTCAAGGAGAGAAACTGGGCAGAGTAAAGGCTTTATTTCCTGGAAGTTACGGTATAAATCCTGGTTCCTACCGCCCCAGCCCTACTCAGACCGTTATTCGATAAATTGGAAAGGTGACTATGGTAATTTGGACAATGTCCACGCGAGGAATGCAAACACTTATATTCTAGTAACAGCAATAAAATTAAGTCTAAACATAAAACTGATGCTAACATAGGCACAAAAGGGAAAATTGCAGTCGGATGGACTACTCCAGTATACTCATACTCACGAAATAGCTACATGTTAGTTTGGCAAGTCTATCTCTGGATCTATGCTCTGATCTATTATGCCTTACCTACTTTGAGCGACAATTTTTGAATAGCTGAGAGAAAAAACCGAGACTCCGAAATAACATGCACTTCGGTCAAAGAATAATTTTTCTTTTATTACTTAAAAAATATAAAACACGCCAGAAAAAACCCTGTGGGCGGTGTTTGGTACCGAACAACAGTACTCCTTAAACAGCCTTTCAGCAGCTGCCGGAAACAAGAAATATACCCGATATGCTAATAATTTTTTTTTTTATAAATCTAAAGTTCGATCATGTTTTCTGTTATGTAGACACAAGCTAAGTACAGGCAGTACAATGATCAATGTGGCGTGGCCTTAACTCTCCGGTTGAGAAATGTCAGAGTTAAAAGTTTCAGAATATGTATGAAATAATTTCGACATGCTAAAATAGTAGATTGTGTCAATCTAAAAAAACAAGAAGCTCTATTGGAATATTAAGTTGACTTTACAAAAACTCAAGAAAGAATATCTAATTTGAAATCAATATCATCATATAGCAATTAAAGACGTATATTATTTTATGGTCTTCATCCAGGAACAAGCTTCGCTAGCGCAGTTGGCAGCGCGTCAGTCTCATAATCTGAAGGTCACCAGTTCGATCCTGGTGCGGAGCATTTTATATTTTTCTTTCTCCGGTTTTTTATGGACTGAAGTACACCAGTTCGATCCTGCTGCGAAGCATATTTTTTCGTTTCTCTTTTTTTTTTTTTTTTCATTTATGTCTTTGTCGTCGCTTAAAATACAAAATGACAGTTCAACCGAACGCCGGTTCAAGGGGACTTCTTTACCAGCGAAGTCACATTGAATATCCTCTTAAAATTAGATTTCTTTTACATTTTTATATAATAAGTCACGAATCAACAAGTATAAATAGAGCAGTTGATTAATAGAATAAAAAGCAGTTTTTAACCTCACGAGAAGTTCACTCGTCTGTAGGATAATACAATAAGTCATACAGTAATCTAAACGACATCTTCTTAATCAATGCACTTGCAAACAATTGTAAATATTGGTCTTCATTTACATTATAATACAAACTTCTTTTATTATTTTAAATATATATACAAGACAATTCA